TTGTTGTTATGTGCCGTGGAGTCGGTTCCGACTCATAGCGACCCTGTACAGGGTTTCCGAGGCTGTAAATCTTTACGGGAGCAGAGAGCCTCATCTTTCTCTGGTGGAACAGCTGGTAGTTTCGAACTGCTGACCTTACGGTTCGCAGCCCAATTTGTAACCACTATGCTACCAGAGCTCCAGTGGGTTACAAGTAGGGCTGCTAACTGCAAGGTCAGCAGTTTTAATCTATCAGTTACTCTTTGGAAGAAATATGAGGCTTCTGTTCCTATAAAGATTTATAGCCATGGAAACCCTATATAGGGTCGCTATGAGTTGGAACTGAATTCACGACACACAGCCACCATCCACCACCAGTGGGCTCTATAGTTCATACGGACTATAGAGTTATTTTGAAATGCATTACTTCTTAGTGATTATGAGTTAATGTATTGAAACAATGTCAATAATGGATGGTCTTCTATATCTGCTCTGCTTTTTCAGAAAGAAAAGCTTCTTTGCTTTAAAATATTATATTGTGGATATATATGTGCATATGTGAATTGATATTAATACTTGCTACAAAAGAATTCCATCTCTATTTTATGTATATTCACATATGTACATATATGCATATCTAAATATAAAGGTCCCTGTTGGCACAATGGTTAAGCACTTGGCTGCTAACTGACAGGCCAGCAGTTCAAACACACCAGTGGCACTGTGGGAGAAAAGACAAGGAGCTGTTCTCCCATAAAGATTACACCCTAGGAAACGCTAGCAGTTCTATTCTGTTCTATAAGGTCACCATGAGCTGAAATGGACTTAACCGTACACAACGAAACGAATATATGAATGCATATTTTATATGTTATAATGTTGTTGTTAAGTGCCACTGAGTTGATTCAGACTCATAGCAACCCTGTATAGGGTTTCCAAGGAGCAGCTGGTGGGTTTGAACTGCTAACCTTGGAGTTATCAGTCCAGTAGTGTGTATGTGTATATATATACACACACACACACACACACACACATATCCTATAGTGCATATTTGCATATATATAATGCACCTACAGAATTCTATATAGAGAAGGCAAATATCAAATGCATCATTGCTGTTAAGTGTATTCCAGTCAATTCTGACTCATAGCAACCTTCGTAGGGTTTCTGAGGTGCAGCTGGTGAGTTTGAACTGATGACCATGTGATTCAAATGACCTTTCGACGCAATGCATTATCCCACAGACCCACACCTTTAAAGTATATAAATGAATCTCTAAACAGGTCAAATATAATAAATAAAATTATTTATAGGTTTCTGACCTAATTCTGAAGTTGCAGTAAATAAATTTAGTTTTATGCATGTTTTTTTTTTAAATGTTCTTTTCATAAGAAGAAATACCTTCTTAATACAAACATGCCACGACCATCAATTAACATCAATAATAAAAACTTTGACAAAAACAACAGAAAAAGATTGAAATATCATTTATCCCTGCCTTTCCAGAGTTTAATAGCTACCCAAAGAAAGTATCAAGAATCCTGGTGTGGAGCCGTAGGATAATGCACTGAACCACAATCCCAGTTTGAATTTCAGGGTCGGCGGTTCAAACCAACCGGCCGCTACTTGGAAGCCCTATACAGGGTCGCTATGGGTCGGAGCTGACTCGACGGCACTTAATAACAACAACAAAGAAAGCCGTGGCATTGCAGAGGAAGCCACTTCCTTTTCTTTTCCCAATGCCTACAATAAATTTCCTTTTCTTAAATGCCTGCACTGATCCAAACCAAAATGCACGATTTGATTTCCATTGGTTGATTACAGAAATTGATATTTTAAATCTGATAAGTTGAATCCGTATGGTTGCAATCATATGAATTGTACAGAAATTTTAGTCACTAAGATTGAAAGACAAAAAATGATGAGGATTTAAATCCCAAATTTTAGACTTTTCAACTTTGTAGCCATGGTTCTCATGTGATGGTCTTGCCAATTTTATTATTTACTTAGATTTGGATGTTATATTCATGTGTTATATTCAGGTGAATCATCTTAACATTAAAATGTTATAAAATACTGTACTAAGAAAAAGTAAATTTTAACTGCATAAGAGGCTAAACCCATATTTTATTTAGAATGATAACAAATAGACATATTTAGAATTTTTTTTAACTTTCTCTAAATATAATCCAGCTCTACTGAATATAGGAATTTTTGTTTGTTTCATTTTTCATATGTTTCCAGAGTCTATAACTGTGCCTAGCACATAGCAGACGCTCAATAAATATTTGTGAATGAATAAATGAATTTCTCAATCAATTTTATTTAACAATAGCATATCTCATTACAGTATAACAACATATAAATAACAACATACACAAAGGAAAAAACATTAACACCATATTAATTTCTATCAAAGTGAATATTTTCCAATGCTGTAACACTTGTAGTCTTCTTCTGTTTCTAGATATATGTCTTGCACATTTTACAATGTCTAAACAACTTCATCTGTGTTGGAAGTTTTTCAAATGCATTTGGGGAAATTGTTACATGCAGGTGCCAATATTGCATTAAACTACAGAGAATCATATTTCTTTCAACACAAATGAGCTAGTATGAATGTGATAGGTCCCTGGCTACCATTTTCAACAAAATTAAATACAAGGGACACTTTTAGGAAAAGGATTCTGGAATGTCTTTTGAATTACTGAATGATTATGCAGTTGCAAATATTGGAGATATGATTTATATGAAGATTACATTTCTGCACAAAAAGATAGATCCTAGTGTTGCATTAATTTGATAGCAAAAAGTATAGATGATATCACTGTCAAACAGATATGTTACAGAGTACTCTGCAGGTATATAAGATACAGTGGATTTTTTTCAATCATTCTTACTTATTTTTTGATAGCATGCCTGAAAACTAGTCATGCTTGCAAAATTAATTCAGTATTTTGGTTTTAAGAACATTTCTCTCCAACTCCTTGAATTAAGGGGTGGAAATCAGATTTTTTATATTATACCTATAATGCACATTAAAGCACTTCATTTCACACAGAACAGGCAAAATTTCAAAAAACTTCTAAAGAAAGTTAATGCATATGTTTAGAAAACAGGCACACACATTCATAGATATCTACTTTTTAAAAAATTTATGTTTGGGATTAGGAGTAATATAATTCCATCACTTATGCACAATGACCTCATTTTAAGATATGGGAATTGATATGTCAGAATTACTAAGTGATTCTTTTTCAGCAGCACTTGAAAAAGATGAGAATTAATTCTTCTTTTGTTCTAGTATCTCAGAAAAGTCACAGAATTAAAAAAAAAATTTTTTTTTTTTCTGGTAGTCCAGAGTTGGTCATCCAAGTAGAATTCCACATGAAAAATTAGCTTAAATTTACTACATTGGAGAACAAGAGTTGAGCCTTAGATAGGAATGGTCGAACAGCGTGGAACTCTTTTCTTTCTTGATCAATTTCTTAAAATAGGATTCTTCATCAGAGGCTGAAAAGAGGAGGACTGTACTGAAGCATGACTTTCCATTACTGTCTTTTTTAGGAAAAGAAATATACATATATATTGCTTTTCAAGTCCCATGCAAATATCACACAATTAAGTTAGAAGATATTCATATCGCAGTTTTATACATAAACTGCTGTTGGTTGGTTTGCGTCCTAAGATCATCATCTTCCAATCAAGGCTTGACAGATTACATTAAATTGCTAACTGATGATGCAACACAGATAAAATTAAAATCGCAATATATGAAAGCTTTTCCCTGGCATTTTCAGGCTTTGACATTATGTCAGTTTTGGAAATAACTTGACATTCCTGAAAACCTGAAACTAAAATTATGTAAGCTAAGAAATAAATCACGTAAAAAGTTTCCATTTTATTTAGAGTAAGAGCTTCCACTAATAATTAGACATGAGTTTTGCCTAACGAGACAGTGAGTTGGAGATATAGAACTTGAAATTAGATAAGAAAGGTCACCGATTGTTGATCTCCTTCGACTAGTATTGACTCTAAAGCGCATGTTTGACTTTGGAAGAGAAAACGACATGAAATATTCCTTATTTGAAAAGAAATTTCATCAGAACCTCTTTGAAAAAGCCGCCTTAACATTTAGAGTAGTTTTCATTTTATGATATGACTGAATGAAGCAATCATGTTGTTGTTGTTATGCGTCGTGGAGTCGGTTCCGACTCATAGCAAGCCTGTACAGGGTTTCCGAGGCTGCAAATCTTTATGGGAGCAGAAAGCCTCATCTTTCTCCTGAGGAACAGCTGGTAGTTTCGAACTGCTGACCTTGCGGTTCGCAGACTGATTCGTAATCACTATGCTACCAGAGCTCCTTAATTTGTAGGAGAAGTTCAATAAATAATATTGTATATTTGTCTATGGTCAATGAGAAAAATAATCGGTGAAAAAACACTGTTAATTAAAAAAAAATCAAATCAAATTAATTTCTAAAGCACTCATTTATATAAAGCATGCTCATTAAAACCCTCACATTCATATCTCCACTGTTATAAACAGACAAGGTAAATCATTATTTGATGACTAAGTTACTTGAAATTGATAATTTTAAACATTGTTAACTATTAATACATTGCTGTTTTAAATAACATAAAAACAGTAGTAATATAGTATTTGCTACTAATTTTTTTGTTTTTTGTATGATTGGTTGTTGACTTTTTCGTGTTCACTCGTGTTTTTGGACTCTTAGCGTTTCATACATTTCCAACTAGAGTTCGACAGTCTCAGTCTTTAACATCTGAGCATGTTTCCAAGAACAATAATGCAACAACAGATAATCCAAATTGAAGTATTGAATGTACTCAAAGCTAAAGACACACTTATTCAAATCCTCAAACAAACTTGTTGTGCATCAGAACACCCATGACACAACTACCAAGATACAGCATTTACCCTCCCTGATCATCAGTGTTGGGGAGTTAGAAATGCCTGTGGACAAAACGGAAGAGCGTAAAGCATAGACCAAAACTTACCATAATTGTAGTGACAACTACTGTTCTGTTTTCAATAGCTGCTGTGTCGTTGCCAAGAGTGGGTACATCTTGAATCAAGACCAACTTATCCATATCATTCCAGTAACCAACCTACAAAACAGACAAAATACCTGAAGACATATTTGAAGCCTTCCTTGAAACAATGAGGGATAAAAATAAGTAAACATACAAAGCAAAATTTGAAACAAACAATAACTACAAAAAGGCGATTAGAAGTTTCTCTAGTTGATAATAAGCCAGTTTCCTTGTTATGTAATGATACTGTCTGGTTGTTATATATTTGGCAACTTTACACTTTATAATCATGGAGTAGCTAAGATAAGTGGTCCAAAGGAATTATGGAGACAGATGGACAATCCCTCTGTGATCATTCTCTCTTCTTATGAGATGGACTTCTTGTTGTTAAGTGCTGTTGAGTTGGTTATGATTCAAAGCAACCCTCTATAGGGTTTCTGAGGAGCGGCTGGTGGGTTTGAAACACCAACCTTGAGGTTCAAACCAACCTTGCAGTCCAGTGCTTTATCCTGCAGCACCACCCCAGGACTCTGAGATGGACCGGTAACTCTGAATATTAATTTACTTGATATTATCAGTAAACTTACAGGCAATATAGTAGAGGGAATAGCCAGATTTATAAAGGGAACATGTATAGGATATTGTCAAGCAGACAAAATGATTTGTGTGTTTTAAAAGCAATATAGAAATAGTTATTGATTTGATATAATCTAGGAGTCCTGGTGTGGCATTGTAGGATCAGCACTGGACTACTAGCAACAAAGTTGGTGGTTCAAATCCACCAGCTGCTTCTTGGAAATCCTATGTTGTTGTTGTTGTTAAGTGATGTCAAGTCTGTTCTGACTCATAACGATCCTGTATAGGCTTTCCAAGGAGCTGTTGGTGGGTTTGAACCACCAACTTTGCAGTTCAAACTGACCCTGTTGCACAGCACATTATCTATACAAGGTTGTTATGAGTCAGAACTGACTCAGTGACATATAACAAGTCACTAGGTAACCCAATCTTACCATTTCTGTGACACTAAATATATCAGAGATGAATATTATTTTTGTTAAGTGCCGTCCATTCAGTTATAACTCATAGTCACCCTGTATAGGGTTTCAAAGGAGAGCCTGGTGGATTTGAAATGCTGACCTTGTGTTTAGTTGTTGTTGTTGTTCAGTGCCATCGAGTCAGTACCTACTCATAGTGACCTTATGCGTAACAGAACGAAACACTGCTCGATCCCGGGCCAACCTCACAATTGTTGCCGTGCTTGAGCCCACTGATGCTTCCACTTTACCAATCCATCTCTCTGGGGGTCTTCCTCTTTTTCTCTGACCCTCCACCCTACCAAACATGATATCCTTCTCCAGCAACTGGTCCCTCCTGACAATATGTGCAAGTGCTTATCCTACAGTGCCACATAGAATGGTATATTTCACTTTCAAATATTACATTAAATTTTTTTCCAGTTTTCAATGCTTATATTATAATCTCATTTAGAAATAAAATAAATACTTTGCCATAAAATACATTAAGCAAAATTAATCAACTACTTTAAAAATTAGAAAATTTCAACAGCCAACTTAGGAGTTTTGGGCTATTATGCAGGTTATTAAGGAGCTCTGGTAGCATAGTGGTTACGAATTGGGCTGCTAACCTCAAGGTCAGCAGTTCGAAACTACCTGTGGTTCCGCGGGCGAAAGATGAGGCATTCTACTCCTGTAAAGATATACAGCCTCGGAAACCCTGTGCAGTGTCACTATGAGTCAGAACCTACTCCACGGTACTTAACAACACAACAACAACAATGCAGGTTATTAAGAAATCGTAATGATGACCACATATTAAGTGTTTACTCTGTGATGAGCACTGTACATATGCATATTTATATTTAAACATATTTATATGCATATGTATATTTAAAAGTTAACACAGTCATGTAATGTAGAGGTCATGGTATTATTACTCACATTTTAGAGATGGGGACAACTTTAGAATATTATATGAAGTTATACTCTAGTGGGGACAGAATTCAAAACTCCAGTCTGAATGATACCAAATTCTTTTACACTACATTCATGCTATACAGCTTCTCAAAATAAGGATTCATTTCATGCTTGTCAAACACCTTTCTTGAATTTCTTGATGCAGTTGATAAAACTCATTTCTCCCATAAAATATATAAATGAGTTTGAGTCACAGATTTACTGCAAAATCACAGAAAAAAAACTGTCAAAATATGAAGCTATTATTTCTCATCATATCCTCCATGTGGGTCTATATTCTTCTATATAGTGGCATTTCTGTTTCTCTAACTCTTCCCTGAAAAATCCTGTGATTTTCAAGTGACACCACAGCAAAATGGCAGTTTTACCATCCTTGAGGGATTTGAATTATGCTCCTTTTAAATGTTCTTTGAGTTTAGAAAACAAAAAGAACTCTGAAGGGGTAAGCTCAGGATTGTAGGGGGTTTGTGGTAAAGTTTCCAAACAAAATTCCAAAAGCCAGGCTACCTGAGAAGAATGATCAGATACATTGTGGTGATTGAGTAAAAAATGACTCAGTTCTAATTTCTTGGTCATTTTCTCACCAATACAATTTTCAATTTTCTTAAAACTTCTACATAGTAGGTCCCCAAGACCATACTGTGTCTTGTAAGAAAATCTATCAAGATTAACCATTTGGAGTCTTAAAAACAATCACTATAGCCATCTGAGCTGACATTTCTGTCTTGAATTGAACTGAGTCAGCAGACACCCTTGGAGGCTACTGCTTTGATTGGACATTCTATTTGAAGTCACCCTAATGGCACTGAGACAAGTGTATTACTGTCTGCAGTCATCCATTGATTACAGAGACATGTTTAACCATGTTATGTTTGTAATAAATCCATGCATGGGTGAATTGGATTCTTAGGAGCAATACTTTTGGACTTATTTGCTTACTGGAGCACAGGTGGTGCAATGTGTAAATGTTCAGCTGCTAATGGAAAGGTGTGCTGTTTGAACCCGCCACCTGCTCCACAAGATTAAGACCTGTCAGTATGCTCCTGTACAGATTTCTGCTTAGGAAACCCTTTGAGACCGTTCTATACTGCTCTATAGGACAGCTATGAGTTGGAATTTACTCAACGACTCACAACACTTGCTCACTAACCTGTATTTACTATTCCTTCTAGCATGTTTGGTAGTCTCTCTTGCCTACCCCACGTTTCATAGCTGTCATGAACATACTAAATAAAGTAAATGTGAATGTGTCAGAAACAAGTACATTTGGATAACAGTTACAAATGTTGTATATGAAGGGGCTTCAAAAAGACTGCAAAAATTCCATTACCTTTTAATTAAGTTTTCCATGAGCTTTTTGAAGCCTCCTTATATAACACAATAACAATATAAATGGGGTAGAATGATTTTCATCAACATGACATGTTATATTTCTTGACTTGATTCAAAATTATGAGTATATATTAATTCAGCAATTTGATGATTGTCAACTGTTCATGTGTATCCATACAAAGCTGACATTTATTGAATAATTCAGTGAAAAATGTAATTTAAAAACAAGTAAGCCTGTAAGACCCACCTTTTGCTCAATTTCTTCTTTTACTTAAAACAAATGAACTACAAAGACTTGGTTCCTGTTAATTCTCTTTTTCACTTGATAGATGATATCAAAATGAGGTTTGCTGTTTATCATTCCAGCAAGATGTAACTACCCTGCAGATTTCAGTAGCCCATCTCTAGGAAAGACAATTTTTCTTTATTAATGAATTCCTACCATAGAAACCACCACTCGTCTGTCAGTTTGTTGTACAGTGGTGGCTTGTGAGTTGCTGTGATTCTGAAAGCTATGCCACCGGTATTTTAAATACCAGCAGGGTCACCCACATCAAGAGAAATTGGAAGGAATACACAGAGTCACTGTACCAAAAGGAAATGGTTAATATTCAACCATTTCAAGAGGTAGCATATAATCAAAAGCCAATGATACTGAAGGAGGAAGTCCAAGATGAATAAGGAAGATTGTAGAAGTATTGATGCTTTTGAGTTATGGTATTGGAGGAGAATATTGAAAGTGCCATGGGCTGCTAAAAGAACCAACAGATCTGTTTTGGAAGATGTGCATCCAGAGTGCTCCTTGGAGGCCAAGATGGCCAAACTTCATCTCTCATACTTCAGACATATTGTCAGGAGGGACCAGTCACTGGAAAAGGTTATTATGTTTGGTAAGGTGGAGGGTCAGAAAAAAAGAGGAAGACCCCCAATGAGGTGGGTTGGCCAAGTGGCAGCATCGATGGACTCAATCGTGGCAACAGAGGTGAGATTGGCCCAGGATCGGGCAGCATTTTGTTCTGCTGTGCATAAGGTCGCTATGAGTTGGTACTGACTTGATGGCACCTAACAACAACAACTATAGAAAAATCACAGATATAAGACCATTCTGGAAAGTCCTCAGAGACCTTGGATTTTTGCATTTGAAAATGGACTTATGGGTTTGTGACCAACTTCCCTAAAAAATGTATGATTCAGAATAGCAAGAAAATTTAAATGACAAGGAAATTTTACTTAACTAGGCTTGGTGTGGTGCTACAGGATAATTGCACTGGACCGCAAGTTTGGTTTGAATCCCAAGGCCAGCGGTTCAAACCCATCAACTACTCCTCAGAAACACTATACAGGGTCACTGTGAGTTGGAACTGACTCAAAGGCACTAACAACAACATATGTATTTGTCTAGTATCTACATGTAATTACAGAGACAAAAGAAAGCCACATGTTGTGATATGAGATCAATTAATGTAGGCCATGGATTTTTGAACAGTAAGACCATACCGGAGTTATTCTCTAAGAAAGAAGATTAAAAACTTGGTCCTAAAACCTCACATGACATGAAAGTTCTTTTCCCTAGTTCATCACAACATTTTACAGTTTAATAAGATTTTTCCCATGCCTGATGTCTTGGTAAATTAGGCATTTTCTTTTCATATCTTAGAGACAGAAGTTGTGTGAAAAGTGCTTTTTTTTTAGTGCTGGAGCAAAAATATTGGAACATTTAAATCATGAAACTAACAAGAGATATTAAAAAAACAAAACATTTTTTATTGTCATTTTCTGAATGGTGAAGTGCGTATAAATGTAACCATAATAAAATATGTGAGTAAATATCTCTGTGTTGGCTCTGAACTTGACCAGCAATGTATAAGGAATGAATAGGCATTGAAGGACTGTGACGTCTATGTTGTACTCAAATTGTGTTCCTTGGAGAGCTGCTTTGGCTCGACCTGTCTTGAAAATTTAGCTTAATTCCAACACCAATGGGTGCTGGGATTAATTATGTTTTATAGCAACCAAGAAAAAGTGGCTGTTCTGGAGGTACATGGATATTTTCTTCCCTCCTAATTCCATATTGTTCTAACTGAATTTTTTGTTATTGTTGTTGTTTAATTCCTTAGAATGAGTTCCAACTCATAGCAACCCTGTATAGGGTTTCCAAGGAATGGCTGGTAGATTTGAATCGCTAACTTTGCAGTTAAAAACCGACCTTGCATCTAAGTGCTTCTCCTACAGCACCACACTGGGACTATCCCTGGACAAATCACTTACTTTCTCTGAGCCTCACTTTCTTTTATAAAGTGAGAAAAAAAAATCTTATATGCAGATTATTGTGAGGATTAAATATAAAAATACACATCAGTTTCCTACTGCAGTGTTTGGCATACAAATGTAATTTTTACTCTTATGAACTCTTGGAAACCAAGCAAATATGGTCTTGAATGTTCTCTCTGGGGTTACTGGAATAATAAGAAGATTCCACTATACCTAGGAGTGAGGACTTCAGAAAGAGCTTTTTGGCTTCTGCTTAACGAGACTTTCAATCAGTTTTCCTGTTACACAAGTCAGACAAACTGATGGGTTGACTCTTTGATCTATTTTCAAAGATAGCTCCCTTGCTGGCAAGCTTTCAATTTACAAGAGCGATTGCTTGCTTTGCAGAGCTATTGCCTAGCCTCACTAGCATAGTGTTTCTCCTGGTAGCTCATTTTTAAGTTTAATATTCCTGACAGAATGCCCAAGTTGGTCGTTGCCACGGAAAAATGAAGATAGATGAGTCTACATCATTTTACACCTCATATTTCTTTTAAGAGTCGTAGATGAATGTCAGCTGAGTGTGAAGATGTACTGTTCATTACTCTTCCAACTTATTCTTTAACTTACTCCTCCAAAAATGTTAATTTTTGTTACAATCATGATTCAATAGGCCATGAAATGATTCAAAGCTATAAATAGCCCACTTGATATTACTGCTAGTTACTACTAGTTTTCTTTCTCATTATACTTTCTTTTTTATAAAGAATCACTTTACTTTCTGTATTACTTTATAAAATATGGAACTGTCGTTTGCATTTTAAAAAGACTTTTCTTAAAGAGCTACCAAAAGGGACTTGCCTTAAAATGGGCCTTTTTATTCCTTTCTACTGGTTCTTTGTATGCTGAGTAAAATCAATGTTTACATGGGACTCCGTGAATATCTTCTTATAGCCAGTCCTTGTTGAAGGCAGTATCCTTGGAGGTACAGCTTGGCTTTACATCTGTCTCCTGCCCTACCTGATCTGATCAGGTATCCTCTGCTCTACAGAGTATTAGCTAGCAGTCTGTATATAAGATGCTGATGAAGAGGCTGAAAATCTGGAGATAACTCCAATTCTCTCTTTTTTCACACACACACACAATGAAATACACCAACGCAGTAAGACTGGAGCAAAAGACAACTCAGAGAGCCTTAGCCAGTTTCTTATATGCGCTTAGCTGTCTTGTCGTTCCTTGGGCCATTATCGCTTCCATTTCTACTGACCTAAACTCTGACTTTATGTATAACTTTAAATCCACCTCCTCTATGAAGCCTTCCTTGATTTATTTTCTACTAGCTGGAAGTGATGTTTTCCCCATTAGAGTATTCACATGCTTTCTCTTGAACTGTCATATGAAATTTGTTACTATATTGTTACTATATTCCCTACTAGAAAATAAACTTCTCTTCAACAGGGTCTACTCAAGTAGTCTAATAATATAGAAGCATTCTGGAATCAGATATTGTTGTCATTGCTAAATGCCATAGAGTCAATTCTGACTCATAGTGACCTGTAGAAGGCGTCCAAGAAGTGACTGGTGGATTTGAACCACTGGTCTTGCAGTTGCAGTCCAGTGCTTATCTTACAAAACCACACCAGGACTCCATATAGCTGAATAATAAATCTTTGTCATTCACCAACTGTACAACCTTACATGAGTAAACAGAAACCACTGGATCTTAAATTGTCTCATTGAAAAAGGGGAGATAATAATACTCAGGTTTGTCGTGAGGATTAAACTTTTCTAAGCACCAAGTATGTTGTTGTTGTCAGGTGCCATCGAGTCGGAACCGACTCATAGCGACCCCATGCACAGCAGAACGAAACAATGTCCGATCCTGGGCCAACCTCACTACCGCTGCCACACTTGAGTCCATCAATGATGCCACCTGGCCAACCCATCGCGTTAGGGGTCTTCCTCTTTTTCTCTGACCCTCCACCTTACCCAGCATGACATCCTTCTCCAGCGACTGTTCTCTCTGGACAATATGTCCAAAGTATGAGAGATGAAGCTTAGCCATCCTGGCCTCCAAGGAGCACTCTGGCTGCACTTCTTCCAAAACAGATCTATTGGTTCTTTTGGCAGTCCATGGCACTTTCAGTATTCTCCTCCAACACCACAACTCAAAGGCATCAATTCTTCTATGATCGTCCTTATTCACTGTCCAGCTTTCGCATGCATATGAGGCTATTGAAAACACCATGGCCTGGGTCAGGCGCACCTTAGTCCTCAAGCTGACATCTCTGCTCTTCAACTCTTCAATACTTTAAAAAGTCCTGTGCAGCTGATTTGCCCAATGCAATACGTCGTCTGATCTCTTGACTGCTGCTCCCGCAAGTGTTGATAGTTGATCCAAGAAGAATGAAATCCTTGACAACTTCAATCTTTTCTCCATTGTTAAGAATGTTGTTTATTGGTCCAGTGGTGAGGATCTTTGCAGAGCTATGTTTTGCACCAAGTATAGTGTCTGGGATATAGGCATTTCATAAATTTTGTTGTTGTTGTTGTTGTTAGGTTTCCAAATCTGTAAAACTTTATGGGAGTTCTTCTGCAGAATGCATGAACTGCTGACATTTAGGTTAGCAGTCCAGTGCTAATCCCACAGCAAAATGAACCATGAATTGTAGCCATGATTATTATATTAAAGTAGAAATTATATTTTTGAAAAATTAAACATTTAAAACAATTATTTTTGTTGTTGTTGTTGTTGAGAGAATATAGAGTAAAACATACACCGTTCTAACAGTTTCTACATGAATCATTTAGTGACGCTGATTACATTGATTGATTGTGCAACTATTTTCACTCTCCTTCTTGGGTTGTTTCTCCCTCATTAACATACATTCATTCCTCCCTAAGTTTCCTATCTAATCTTTCTAGTTGCTTTTGCCAATTGATCTCATGTAATAGTTCTTAAAGGAGCATAACACATTGGAACGAGTATTCTAAGCAGCCAAGTATTTCAATAAACAGACTTTTCCAAAATGGTAGCTTGAATAGCTCTTGAACATCATGGTAAACAGAGAAAACGGATATTAAAATCTGTGTGTGTTATCTGTAAAATGTTTATAACACATGACTTCGGTGGTGATGGGAAGTATGGCACCATTGATGAAGTATTTCTTAGATGTTTAGTTACATCATATGACCAACAGTCACCTCCCTAAATCCAAGAAGCTGATACCAGCTGCTTTCTAAATCCACCTCTTCTCCACCCTAGTTGGAATTTCTAGGGTATTTGTCTTCCTCCTCAGTCTAATAATCATCTAAAAATCTTGTCTTCCATCTCCTCTCTCCTTTGCTCCATTGAATTTGCCTACTTCAACATCTAACCTTTCTAAATACCCACTATTGTTGTTGATAAGTTCCATCAAGTAGGTTCCAACCCACAGTGACCCCGTGTAGGGTTTTCAAGGAGCGGCTGGTGAATTTGAACCACCAACCTTGCAGTTCAAACTGACCTTGAAGTTGAGTGCTTATTCTACAGCACCACACCAGGACTCCAAATAGCCATTAGAAGTCATTTTTCGATGTACTCTTTCTAATGATCTCATAAATGAGAGCATGGAGGTGATTATGTCTCTTTATATCCATTATGAGCTCTGCTGTAGAGTAAATATTTGTGTGTGAGAGATTCTTATTGCTAATTCTATCTTCAAAAATGACTTCCATTTTGTATAAAGGAGCTACACAGTGTACTAATAGAAATTAATATTCTTCGTATTTAGGACTTCATTAAATCTCAATTATTATGATTCAGGAGTTTATGACAACACAGATTACCAAGAAAGTACTAATTGTTAAGTACTCATTTTTTTAAACAAGAAGAAATATAGAATATCTAGCTATCTTTTGTCTACAAGAAAATGTCAAATAAAACTAAGAACAGAACTTTCTTTTTCTCAGTTTGACTGTGGCTTACCTTCCTAGGCCCTGTGCTCTTTAACTCAAACACATCCATTGTGTAATTGACTCTTCGTCCATAGTGGTCAAACTGAACATTCCCTGTAAGTCCTTGAATGCGAACCTATGAGTAAAAACAGAAAGCCCCCATATGGAATCATTTGCCATTTTACTTATAGAAATCTCAACTTCATCTGCTAGGCTAATGACTACACAAGAATTTTGAACTTCAGACTGTAACCAAGGCACTAAAAGAGCCATGGGATATTTGAGTCATTGGGATAAAATCTGAAAGAGGAGTGTTAAATGAATGTACAACAATTCTGCGATATGCCTGAAAGATGAATTGTTTTGTTAGCTTTTTCATTATAAAGATTCTATATTAACTAACAGAATTCTTCCATTATATTAATGTAATGTTTATATTTATGGGAACATAAAGGGTTTGGTCATAATTATTTTTCAGTTTAGTCGATATAGCCACATAATGAATTGAATAGCTCTGATATTCAGATCATATTATATTTTCTTCTTTGCTAATATTAAAACTAAGTCTTAAGAAGTTAATAAAATAAAAATACATTAAAAATATCCAAGTATATTTTACTCCAAATTTCCCTTTAATCCACTTTTATTATAACCCACAGCATTTCAGAATATTTAAAACTTAGTATTAAAAATGTTTATATATATTGCACTAATCATTTGAAAAGCAATGTTTATATAACTTTATGAGACTGAAACAAGCAAATTAATCCAAGGTAACAAGACAATTCAAAGAGCATTCATTTGTAGTGCACCAAATAATTCTAGTTTTTTGCATTCTGGGCTCAAGGTAGAATTGTACTTCCTGACTCTCTTGCAGCTAGTTTCAGCTATCTGACTGTAAATGAGTTGTTAATAGACTTGACATGTTTCTAGGACATTAAATGGCAAACTGAGACCACCCCACAACTTTCTATTTCACTTTGCAGCATTCAAGATGGTGCCCGCTCTATCAGCCTGGTCCCTGAGCAGTTACAATAAACAGTGTCCATGTTCCTCTAGTATATATGTTGTTGTGGTTGTTATGTGCCGTGGAGTCGGTTCCGACTCATAGCGACCCTGTACAGGGTTTCTGAGGCTGTAAATCTTTACGGGAGCAGAAAGCCTCATCTTTCTCCCAGGAACAGCTGGTAGTTTCGAACTGCTGACCTTGTGGTTCACAGCCCGATTCATAACCACTACGGTACCAGAGCTCCTTTCTAGTATATGTAAGTGGGCATTTTTTCTTTTTTAAAGGAGCTCATTATCTACGGTGATAAACTTTGCTTTATAAGCCAATCTGTTATATGTTGTTGTTATTAAGTACCATTGAGTTGGTTCTGACTCATAGTGACCCTGTATAGGATTTCCAAGAAGTTGATGGTGGGTTTGGATCACCGAGTTTGCAGTTAGCAATCCTACAGTAGCACACAAGGACTCTAATCTGTTATCTAGTTAAGGGATAATTTTGGTATAGGGTTTAAAGTGTAGCTCAGGACAATAGTCTTGAGGAATCCTCTTGCCTCAACTGTTCCAATATGTACGGATTTTTTAAGAATTTCAGTTCTGTTCCATTTATATCTCCCCTGCTATAAGGATCCAAAGGAGCTCTGGTAGCGTAGTGGTTATGAATCGGGCTGCGAACCTTAAGGCCACCAGTTCGAAACTACCAGCCGCTCCGCGGGAGAAAGATGAGGCTTTCTGCTCCCGTAAAGATTTATAGCCTCGGAAACCCTGTACAGGGTCGCTATGGGTCGGAACTGACTCGACGGCACTTAACAACAACATAAGGATCCATGTATTGTGGCTCTAGTACTATGTAAGCCACAAAAATTTTAGGTCATCTAGGATGTCAAAGTCAGCAGTTCAAATGCACCAGCTGCTCCTCAGAAACCCTGTACAGGGTTGCTATGGGTGGAAACCTACTTGATGTCACTGACCAACAACAACAACATTACTTCAACATAATCTAGTCTTGATTATAAATCTATATAAGATAGAAACACAAATATTCAATTCCATATTCTATTTAGAAACAGTCTCAAAAATAAAGACTTGATTTATCAAAAGGACAATTGTTAATATATATTTATTCCTAGATATATTCTTCTGTTTTCTTGAACATGTCACTTAAACAAGACTGAAATCATTCAAACTCAATAAAGTTGTGAGCTACCTGTTTGAGAGTCCTTTCCATGTCAATCCCCTGGCCCCAGGGAGCAGCAGGATTTGCCAGACAATCCCCAGCATTTCCTCTTCTTGAAATATCAATTTTTTGCCTTCTAAGATTTCGGAAAGTTTCAGCCATCACAAGGACTCCGTCATAAGTCAGGGCAGAGGTGTACTGTCCAAATAAAAACAATTATAAGAGCAAATGTTAAACATATCAAGCACCAGAGATAATCTGGGATCTCTGTGGGTTTAGGGCATAAAGCACCATTCTGTCTGACTTGCTACCATTGAGGCCATTTCAACTCAATAGCAACCCTATAGGACAGTGTAGGACCACCCCACATCGTTTCTGAGCTGCAATCCTCATAGAAGCAGGCTGCTTCCGTCTCCCACAGAGCAGTTTTCTGTTAGCAGGGGAGCACTTCAACCACTGTGCCACTGGTGCTCTCATTCTGCTTGAAGGGCAGTTAAATTACTGACAATTAATTGACTCTTAGCTTCAGAAACTTCTATTATTGATTGACTACCAAAGTTGCAAAGCAAATCTTACCATCCTAATTTAAAAAGAAGAAAGAAAACACTCAGAAAGATGAAATTTTAATAAATACTTTTCCATCAATGATGAATTTAAGGAATAGAACACTTAATAAGCGTTTTTTTTTTATACATGGAACAGCAAGCAGATCTTTTTTTGGGGAGAAAAAAGAAAACTATAGATGAGGTCTTTCCATTGTGTAAAAGTGTAAGTAGCTAGAGAAAAATACAAATGATTGATTTATCTTCTTATTGTATTTTATCCAAATAATTTCCCTCTTGTTTGAAATATTAGTACACTGAATAAGAGAAGAACTCAAATCATTAAATGGGAATGAAATTTCCTGTGAATAGAAATTACATAAAGTAGAATTGGGGGAGCCGGGTCAGCAGCGATTGATCTACACAGCCTCTACGCTTGTGCAGTATTGTCACAATCTGCCTTGTGGCTGTGGTTGAGCCCAGAAGGGCTACTCCAAAACTTAGTAGGAAATTTAACATATGTTTATTGACTTGAAGTCTAAATTTAGTTCAGTCCCCAGAGCAATAAATTAGATGGTTGTTATTCAGAAAGAGAGTCAAATTCTGAAACAGCATTGCCTTATTCAACAGAATCAATCACTATGCTAAGTAGGAATGAATGGTTATACTGATTGAGTGTGTTCAAGAGGGTTAAGTAATTTCTTTAAGTTTCCATTATAATCTGTAGCCAAAGTGAAGAAATTAAGTACAATCTGCTTTGTGATGACCATCCGGTGCTTCTCTTTGAAAAAAGAAAAAAAAAAAACCCAAACCACTGAGCCCTCAGGAGAAAGTACTGACATGATAGGAAGTAAGGAAGAACAGAGAAGGAAAAGGAAATTTGTTTAAGCTGAAAATAAAAACAACAGAAGATGACTTTTGACAGAGATTGAGTAGAGAACTCCTAACTACATGGACAATGTGGCACAATTTTCTTGCAACATGGCAGAGCATCAACTACTTATCATGACAAACCGTGACATAATCTTTCTTCAAGAATTCCATTTGTTCAATTCTTTATGACCAGCACATTCTAAGCCTATGGTTGAAGTCATGTTTTGTGTTGTAGGGAAATGTTCTCCTTGATTAGTTGGTTTCAAATGAAGAAAAACTATTTAAATGCCAATTGTACAGAGTAAACTTACACAACATTACCATTAGATGTAACAGCCAGTATTCCAGTGAAGAGGAAGACTAAAACATATTAGAATATAAATTCTAATAAAGAACTTACATCTTGCTAGTAAAGAACTTAACTGGAAGGCTTTTACCAAAAGGAATTCTAGAGGGACACGTGTCAGGAGTATCATATCTTCTTCATGAATATGATAAAATAGGTTTGCCAATAGGTATCCTGTCTCATAATTGGGTTTAGGTGACTGAAGGAAACTCAGGCGGTTAATTTAAGCAAGGTGCTCTATTTAAAATGAATATGCCTCCTCCCAAGTCAGAACTGATACACCTTTGAGTAGAGAAGTAGGCCTAGTGTCTTCTTGTAGGTACAAAACTAACGGCAAGAAATAAAGGGAAACTTGCTAAAGGCATAAAGGAAAAGAGAAAAATTCATTGTTAGTATATCAGAATCAAGCGCAGGCAAGAAATGTATTATTGCTTTTTTAACAAGGAGAGGAATGCTGAGGGAGATGGCACCAAAAGGCAAAGACACTTGCTGTGTTTGAAAAAGTCCATCTATTTTTATGAAGCACATGAATTAGGAAAAAGAACAATCGTCACACAGGGCAGAGCAAGTTGACATTCCACCAGAGTGGAGAGGACTGGGAAATTGACAGGTCACAGAGCTTACAGATGGAAAGAAGCAGCAGGTTAACTAGTATGAAGCATTTAGTTCTTTTCCATTTGCTTTTTTATGGCTACCACCCAGAAAGCCACATTCATTGGCACACAACTATTAGGAGCATCTAGAAACTTCTTAGTGAATAAACATTTTATTTTAGGGCAGCATAAAACTAAATCTTGATCTAGAATTATTTCCTGCTTTCATTAGTGTTCAGAATGGTGGACAGTTCTGTTTGCCAAAGTTTGTAGATCATAAGACAGTCAGAACAGAATAATAGTGTGGTGGAAAGAGCATGGACTTGGAGAAGAAACAAGTTGGATTCTGATTTTTCTACTCATAGATTTATAAGAATGCTTATAACACTCTTCAGCTATGGAACTCAAAATCAAAAGATACAAGATAATGTCAGCTGTCTCGTGAGATTGTTGCGAGGATGAAATTTGATATTGAAGTTGAGCTTGGAATTGGAAAGCTCCACTGAACCCTATTTAGTATTAGAACAGCATTCAAGCTTCCACTGACAGGTGGAATGTACCAGTGAAGTACCAACGAGGTACTCCGGCTAGGAATCAAATAGGGTCTCCTGCATGAAAGGCAGGAATACTACCACTGAACTACCAAAGCTCCTGGAAAAGGTTGTTGTTAAGTATTTTTGTGTCAGTTCTGACACATAGCGACTCTGTAAAGAGTTCCTGAGGAGTAGCTGATGAGTTTGAAATACCGACCTTGTGGTTTGTATTCTAGTGCGTATCCTATAGCACCACACCAGGTCTCCTGGAAAAATTTGTTATTGTTATGTGCCGTTGAGTTGGTTCCCACTCAGAGCAACCCTATATAGGGTTTCCAAGGAGTGGCTGGTGAGTTTGAACTGCAGACCTTGCAGTTAGCAGTTCAGTGCTTATCCATACCAGGAAAAAGTTTAGGGAAGTTCAATTTGGTTGGTACATCAGATAGAGAACAGAGAGACATGTGACTGTAAAGACTTGTTTTGCCTGTATTGTGGAAGACCTTTACTGCAGAAGATTTTTTTTTTTTTTTATGTATATAAGTAGGGCAATGATAATATCAGAAATTGTGCTTTTAAGTGTATATGCTTTATTCAGGATACTTACTATTGCTTGGAAGAGATTGATAGAAATAGTTGAATAGAAGAATATCAAAGAAAGTATAAAAATATGTCCAGAACTGTGGCTTAGACAAGTCTACTTGGAGGTAATGAAAAAGAGACATTGGGACGGGCTAAAGGCATAAAAGGGAAGGACTCATTACCCTGATGCATCCAGGTAACAGGAACACAGGGGGCAAAACTCTGACTGCATGTTGGTATTATCTTTAAAATAAAAAATAATCCCATGGAGCTATGGAACACTGCCAAGAAGGTTGAAGCCCATTTTAGATTCTAAAAGGGTAACAAGATGTTGAAGAGATGGTTCACAGAAGAAATGCTGACATATATAGTGATCTGACAAATTGGCGTTGTGAGGAAAGAGGAAATGAGATTGTCTATCATGGGGAAGAGAAAGAGCAACCAAGTCTCTGCTGCATATGTTGATGATGGAATTAGGAGAACATGCTGAACCACCCACTGCCAAGATGAGAAATGGGCTCCAAACAGGTTTAAGATCTTATTTGGGTATTAACACTTGGAAGAATTAAATTTTAGGGATGATTTATCTTTGGACCTACTTAGAAGCAAAAGGCAGGCTAAAAGACTTTTTAGTCTAAAAGATAATTTGCATTTTGAAAATTTGATTTCTTAGTAAATCCTATATATATTATCTGCAGACCTTGTATGGTGCTGTAGGATACACACTGGACTGCTAACTACAAAGTCAGTGGTTCAAGCCCATCAACTGCTCTTTGAAGACCCTATACAGGGTTGTTATGAATCAGAATAGACTCGACAGCACTTAATAATAACAACATATATATTATCTAGGACCCCTAGTGGTATAGTGGTTAATGTATTGCCCAGGGTTGGTGGTTCAAATCCACCAGCTATTTAGTGGGAGAAAGACGAGGCTTCCTGCTTCAGTGAGATTGTTGTTGTTGTTGTTAAGTACTGTCGAGTTTATTCTGATCCACAGCGACCCTGTATAGGGTTTCTGAGGAGTGACTGGTAAGCTTGAACTGCCAACTCTGTGGTTCAAACTGACTTTGCAATCCAGCGCATTCATTACCCACAGGGCCATGCTGGGACTACTGTAGAGATTACATCAGGACTCCTCTAGAGACTACAGCCTTGGAAACCCTATACAGGATGGCTGTGATGGCATTGACTTGATGGCACACAACAACAACATATATATTATCTGCAAGTTCTGCAGTTCAAGCCCACCAGCCACTCCTTGGAAATCCTACATATGGTTGCTATGAGTTGGAACAGACTTAATGGCACTTAACACCAACAGCAATCAATATTATCGAGTATCTCTGGTGTGGCACTGTGGGTTAATGCGCCAGACTGCAAAGTTGTTTGCACTGCAAGGTTGGCAGTTCAAGTTCACCAGCTGCCCTCGGAAACCCTCTACAGGGTCACTATGGGTCGGAATCGATTCTACGGCACTTAACAACAACAACAGTATCCCTGGAGGTGTAGTGGGTTACGTGTTGGACAGCTAACCAAAAGATAAGCAGTTCGAATCTAGTCACTCCCTGAGAGAAAGATGAAACTTTCTTCTGTAAAAATGTATAACCTCGAAAATTCTACACAGGGTTATTATAAGTTAGAACCAAATGACGGCACACAACAAGAAAAACATATATTATTCAGTCTGAGAACTGGGGCAATAGAATGTGAACTGTACTTGTCCAAGACTCTGGGTGCCAAAGATTCTGTCCTTGACATTTTATGAGCCTGGTTCCCAACTAAAGATCAGTCAATGAATATTTTGCATATGTGTGGCATTGTAGAATAAGCACTGGACCAAGAGGTCAGTTTGAACCACAAGGTAGGTGGTTCACATTCTTCAGCTGCTCCTTAGAAACCCTACAGGATGCTATGAGTTGGAACTGACTCGACAGCACTTAACAACAACAATGTATAAAATCTGAGGGTTGGATTATAGTGCTTGATTTATAGTGGACATTCAATAAATGTTATATTCTAAAATTCCAAGATTTTGTAAGATAGTGAAGATGGTGTGGCCAGCTGAAATCCTATCTTATAGAAGGGAAATTTATATGGCCAGTAAGAATATATTTTATACTCAGGATATGGAAGAGCTGCGACATTCTACTCTTAGATGGTGGTTTTTATAGATAGGCTTGTAGTTCCAAATCATCCTTTGAAAATTACATTGTGAGACTGGCACAGGACCAGGCAGTGTTTCGTTCTGCTGTGAGTAGGGTCACTATGAGTTGGAACTGACTCATCAGCACCTAACATAACAAGATAAATTGTCAAAGAGAGATTAGCAAATATTTGTTAATGATGATTCATTATTATGTTGTTAAAGAGCTCTGGTAGCGTAGTGGTTACGAATTGGGCTGCGAACCTTAAGGTCAGTGGTTCGAAACTACCAGCCGCTCCGCGGGAGAAAGATGAGGCTTTCTACTCTCATAAAGATTTACACCCTCGGAAACCCTGTACAGGGTCGCTATGTGTCGGAACCGACTCGAAGGCACTTAACAACAACAACAATGTTAAGTACCATCAAGTGAGTTCAGATTCAAAGAGGCCCTGTTTAGGATTTCCAAAGAGTGGCTGGTGGGCTTGAACTGCCAACCTGTAGTTAGTTGTCCAGTGTTTACCCTACAGCACCACATTAGGACTAAAAAAATCACTAATCTTGGATTTAAGAAAGATTATGCTATTATTTATATGTCTATGAAAATCTTTTTCTTAAAAATTCACTAACTTTGGTTGTAAATACTAATAGCATACCTCTATATGTCTGTCAGAAAATAAAGCAACCTGACCTGTTCATTTGGATTGTTAATTTGAAAAACAAAACAAAACACATTTTGCAGAAGCTTATACAGTTCACATTTCTATAAATTTCCTAATTTATCTATTTATTATTAATAAAATTTCCTATTTATTTTATGCCACTTTGCAAATAAAGTTGTTGTCTGGATGGGAAAGTTACCTACGACTGCTCACATTGGAAGTATTGGGTTTGAAAAAACAAAATGAAAAGAGCATATAATTTCTTCAAGGACATTTATGTGCAAAAACCCATCATTATAATAGTAAATTACTTGAACTGATTTATAACAATTCTAATTTTAAAAACATAAAAATGAAGAAATTACTGTATGTGCAGAATAGTGAAAGTCACAAAATTATTCTTTCCCATGCCACACTACAATCTGACTAGAATAATTACATAATGCATCTCTACTTTAAATTGAAAACAAGATCTTAAATAAATACAAACAAATACCTTTGGCGGTGTCTCAGATCCTGGATATTCTCTCTGATCTAGTTTCTTCCATCTATCCATTAGTTTGGTCACCATAGGTGTGTTAAAATCCACCAGTTGGAATCCTGTAACATTGGCTCCCCCATGTATAAATCTCTCAAGGGAAATATCCTTGAATCCCTGTAAAAACCATTGTGACAGTTCGTTAACTTCACTTTGTTAGATTCACTTCAACTCTTTAACAGTAACATAAATTAATAACCAATGTTGTTAAGTGCTGTTCAGTCAGTTTTGTAGAGTGTTTCCAGGCTGTGGCTGGTGGGTTTAAACCACTGACCTTGTGGTTAGCAATCCAGTGCTTATTCTGCAGTGTCATACCAATATGGACAGCCAAATAGATTTCTAATAAAACAATTACTAGAAAGATGTGGAAATCCAATTGTGTCAATTTAGCTATTAAATTCTATCATTGTAAATTCAATGCCTGAAGAAGGATGTAAATATTTCCAGTTCAGTTCCATTCAGTTTCACAAGTATGCCTTTTATGAAACAAAGAGGTTAAAAAAGACCAGAGTTTGAATGCCACCTCTGTAAATTTCTAGCCTTGTGTTTCCCACATGCAAAATAAAAAAATAACCCTAAAGTTATGAGTATCTAACACGTCTAGTTGTAATTCAGAAGATGACAGCTACTATTAATTAATTCACTCAACAGATATTTATTTCATGCCTCTTATGTGGCAGTTAATTTGACAGCTCATCAGTAACATTCTCATTTCATTGAGAAAGAAACCAGACCGCCAGAAAGCAAGTGTGTGTTTTTGAAATGGGTAAAGTACCGTTCATCAATCTCTAGCTAATAAAATGTCAGCTGAACATTTGTTTGTTCCTACCAGAGTATAGGCTGACCCACAGGTTGGCAAATGATTTCAATGTTTTCTAAAAGCCACACTGATTCAACTATTGCATTTGTTGCTAATTGATGACATTATTTTCTTTCAGCAGTGACTGAAACAGAGAATCCGCCAAGCCTTATTTCACAGTGTTATACCACAGCTGTAGGATAAGCACTGGATCACAAGGTTGGTTTGAACCTCAAGGTTGGCAGTTCAAACTCAACTAGCTGCCCCTTGGAAACAGGGTCGCTATGAGTGGGAATCAACTTGACAACATGCCATAACTATAAGGCACACATGCAGAAGATGCAACCTTCCAAAAAAAAATCATCTCACGTAAAGTCTAATTGAAAATTAACAGTCTACAGTTCTCTGATTCCATTTTGTTACAATGGTGAAGGTTAAAAAAAAGTCAAATCTGACTAAAAAAAAAAAATCTTTTAGTTACAATTTTAATAAGTGGGATGTCTTCACTTATTTTAGCTATGTCTGTATAAGCAATGTCTTTAGTATATTTTTGTATAATTTTATATTGAAAGAAGATAGGATCTAGATTGTGAAGCAGTTTCCTTGGAAACAGTTACTTCGATGGTCATTTGGATTTCAGTTTTCAATTAGAGAATAGTGTGTAACTGAAAGTTCTGTGGTAAGCTTGAAACAAAATTGGTATGTTGGTGTTTTTAGTTACCACCAAGTTGATTCCAACTTGAAAGGCTGTGGTCTTTCACCAGGCCTGTCCTCTGAGACCCACCTGGATAAATAAATAGGAACTGTCAACCTTCTCTGTAGCAGTCCAGGGTTTAACCATTTATCCCATCAAGGGAAATAAGTAGGTAAATAAAATAGGTAAATAATGCCAACAAAGGCAGGGGAAGGCCAGGGGAGAGGCTTTATACTTGTTGAGATTGGTTACTATGGTGCTTGTATTGTATAATGGGTAATGATCTAAGAAAGAATTCACATCCAAATTGGTCTCCCTTTCAAATATCATTTGCAATTCATAAGCCTCTGGGAGAAAAGGAAATGTTTAATAAATTATAGAGATCCAGATATCCTGATGACTATGTAAATCTGTCACTGTGAGTTGTAATTAACTTGAAGGCAATGGGCTTCCCTCCCCCCCAATAAATGTATCATAGATTAAAAAAATGTTCATTCATTCTCTAAATTTTACCTCATTCAGACATTTCTGCTGTTCTTTTTAGCATTTCAAAGCTGACTAAAACATATTAAGACAACTCTGATGCAAATAACAGAGGGAACCTTAAATAGAATGGGGGAAATTTCCCCTTAACATCTTTTTAAAATTTTTTTTTAATGATTTATTGTGAATTATGAGATAGTTTACATGGGAGGACATTAGGTTTACATTCATGCTATCATATTTCATTGCCATGGTTACAATCCTCTCCATGCACCATCAATCAACCTGAAAGCCTGCTCCCTGCCCCCCTCCTCCCCCCGCCCCGTCGTCAGCACACAACCCCTCTCCCTCTCTGGGGCTAGAGTCCCAAGCCTCTTCATCTTCCATGTAATCCACGTCATCGTCTCTGCCTCCATCTCTGGTGTCACTGTTTCTCTGGGTAAGGTCCCTCACTCTGCTCTTCTCTCTTGATGGTCCCAGGGACCACGGCTCCTGGACTGCAAAGTCAGCCACTCCCCTCTTTTTGCTACAAAATGTCTACCTTTACATTTCCAATCCTCACAGCCAGTCCTGATAGTAATTATTTACTATTGTACCAAAAGAGATTTATACCCATCTCCTTTCGTCAGCCCTGCCCAGACAGATTGGATTCTACTCAGTGGAGATTCTACCTTTCCTCTGCACCCTCTGGATCTAGGCTCCCTCTTAAAAGTTTGTAAGCCAGTCACTTCTTGCCTTTGCAGCCCCTCCTGCCCCCACCCCCCCATTTTGGGTAGCCAGTGTCCAAGTCGCCCATCCTTGTCTACTCTGTGTATGGAGGTGGTTCCCCTTAACATTTTTTAAAAGCAGTTTTTCTCTTTTCAAGATGGATCTGGTGAAAGGGGATGGGGAGTGATAGTGATAGGATTTTATGATGCAATTGTGAATAATTGTTATCAGGATTAATTGTAATTGTTACAACTATAATGGTAGAAGATGTGTTACTAAAAGTTGTTGTTGTTGTTGTTGTTAAGTACCGTGGAGTCGGTTCCGACTCATAGTGACCCTGCACAGGGTTTTCAAGGCTGTAAATCTTTACGGGAGCAGAATGCCTCATCTTTCTCCCGTGGAATTGCTGGTAGTTTCGAACTACCCACCTTGAAGTTGGCAGCTCGACTCGTAACCACTACGCTACCAGAAATCTTACATTTCAGGACCATTAAGAAGGAAGAGCATGAGTGGAGCATGAGATCCTACCCAGAAAAGTGATGACAGCAGAGACGGTACCTGAGGTGATAACATGGAGAGAGAGAGCAGCTGAGGACCTACGCCCGTGAGAAAGGCTGTGTGCCTGTGGGCAGGAGGCTGCATTGCAAAATGTGCCCTGTGGACATTTAAATGAGTATATATATTTTTTGTTTTGTGTGTGTACATCAAATATTTTTTGCTTTGTTTATTTGGGAAAACTACGATGTGAAAGCAAAGCCATACATTGGAAACAGGGTAACTGTTGTTATAGGAAGGGGAATGTAATCAATGAAATGAAACAAAATATATGATTGGTTGAAAGTAAAAAAAAAAAAAAAAGAATTTATGATGGTTACAGGTGGGGAAGAGGGAAAATTATTCATGGGTTAGAGGGTAGACACATGTCAACATGGGCACAGAGCAGGCAACATACAGCAAGGGGAAGGAAAGATGAAGGTGGTGGGAGACACAGGAATGTAATACTACAGGGAAGAGAGGTAAATATTGATAACTGCTGGTACATGGAAGGGATTGCAATCATCGTAATGAAGCAAATATATGATAATGTTTAATGTAAAACTGATGATCTGCTCTGTAAACCCCTAATAAAAAGTAAAAAAAAATGAAGTTGTGAAGAAACTGATTTAAAATATGCACTCTTGAAGCAAAAGTTGATAAGATAGTGATGTCAGGCATATACAATGCAGGATGTTGTAAAATGTGGAAAGCACAATGGAAACAAATCAAATAGCATCAAATTGGTATAATCTTAACTGAAGTCATTGCACTTTAGTAAAAATGTGCTAGACTTCAAATTTTGGGTACTAGTTTCTTGTTCTCATTTTGTTACTAAGCAAGGTGTCTCAGTATAGATAAATCACACTATATATCTTGATTTCCTTACTCCTTCAAAATGGAAACCACACCCTTTGCTATATAGAATCTGGCTTATAGCAACCTTATAGGACAGAGCAGGACTTACTCAAGGATTTTCAAGGCTATAATCTTGATAGAGATGAACCGCTACAGTCTTTTTTCTGCAGAGAAGTTGGTGGGTTTAAACCAACCACCATTCGATTAGCAGCTGAGCACTTAACCACTGTGCCACCAGGGCATTTCTTACCTTTTTTTTACTATGGGTTTGAACATTGTGACTATAGAATATCTTAAAGTGTTAGAATATTTGTAGCCACCAGTAGCCAGTAAGTATTGTTATTTTACAAATTATTGCTTATTATGAACCACAAGGTCGGTGGTTCAAGCTCACCAGCCGCTCCTAGGAAACCCTATACAGGGTCACTATGGGTCACTACGGACTCGATGGCACTTAACAGCAACAAGGACCTCTTGGTGTGGTCATTGTTGTTGTTAAGTGCCATCGAGTCGGTACTGACCCACAGCGACCTTATGTATAGAAGAATGAAACATTGCCTGATCCTGGACCAAACTCACTACTTGGTGTGGAGCTGCAGGATAATGCACTGGACCGCAAGGTTGGTTTGAACTACAGGGTCAGCAGTTTAAATTCACCCAAGGCTCCTTGGTAACCCTATATAGGGTCACTATGAGTCAGAACTGACTCAACAGCGCTTGACAAAAACAACAATAAGGAGCTCTGGTAGCGTAGTGGTTACGAGTTGGGTTGCAAACCTCAAGGTTAGCAGTTCCAATCTACCAGCTGCTCCACAGGAGAAAGGTGAAGCTTTCTGCTCCCATAAAGCTTTACAGCCTTGGCTATCCTATACAGGGACTCTGTGAGTCAGAACTGACTTGACGGCACACAACCACCAACATCATTAAGCTAGTCTCAAAATAGCCAGGTAAGTAGAAGTTCCCAATTAACTGCAAACTATAATTGTAATTATAAATGGAATTATTTTACTTATTTCATCTTCACATTTGTTTCTAGTAGATAGAAATACAGATTCCTGTTTGCTCATTTTTTATCCTGTCACCCTAGGAAACACATTAATTTCTTCTAATAGTTTTAAAATCAGAGTTTAAAGAATTTTCAATATACAAGATATTCTTCATTCTCAATCTGAATTATTGAATTGATATTTCTTGCCTAATTACCCTTTCAAGAACATTCAGTATGACGTTCAATAGATGTGATAAGAAAGTACACTCCCATCTTGTTCCTGACCTTAAGGGACATCCATTCAGTCTTTCACCACTAAGTATTAGTATAAAATAATGTTAATGTATTTTCCTTTTTGTTTAAGTTTGCAATGACTTTAAATTTGAGAATCCCAAATAGATAACTTTCAAGAAATAGCTGTCGACTGACTCAATGAATCAAGAGACACTATGGTTTTGGAATGATAGTTGTTTTAGGGATAAATGAGTAAGTCAATACAATCTTATATTAGTATACCACATTATAGTATAAATAGGTGCAAGGCGCTAGCCAAATTGTGCTACAAATATATCAACTACATATGGCAAAAACTTGCTCATTTCTAGTGAGAAAAATGGTTCTGTTATCTAACACAAGCAAAAATGTTTTCTACTTATGTTACTACTTGTTACTACTGCCAAGTGCTGTAGAGTCAGTTAGAACTCATAGTGACACAGTATGGGGTTTCTGAGGAGGGACTGGAGAGGTTGAACTGCCAACTTTTCAGTTAGCAGTTGAATGCTTATCCTACAGTGCTACACCATTATAAATATTTACATAATTAAATATGCTTCCCTCTTCTAGAGCCATTTATGACAGCCCATGATGTGGCACTGTGGGTTAATGAGCCAGACTGCAAAACCATTTGAACTGCAAGGTTGGCAGTTCAAGCTCACCAGCTGCTCCTTGGAAACCCTATACAGGGTCGCTGTGGGTCAGAACTGACTCAACGGCACTTCACAACAACAACAACAACAATGATATCAATTAGTATAACTATTAACATCCTTTCATTTTGAACTGGCTTATTATTTTAGTTGTCTAAATAATTTAGCGACTCATTTCTGGCATGATAGTTTATACAGTTATGATTGTTTTTCCTTGAATTTTACTGCTTGGAAAAAAGGTGTGTCCAAACCCACTATTTTATAATCAAAAGTAATTAATTCGAATCTCATTGTACAATGTTATTGTGAATACAAACATCTTCATAAACGGAGGTCTCTTCTTTTACAATAACTAATACATTAATACCAGAATATATTCCTTTTAAGATTTATATTTTTATAAAATGTATTAAAGCACCTTGCTATGGGTCTATTAAACTCAATAGAAAAGACAAAGATTCCCAGTGTTTTCATGATAATCCATTAATAGTAGCAAAATTAATTTTATTCAAGAAATACAATACAACGAGCATTTTCAGTCCATTGCTGCATATCTCAGCCTTGCAGTTCACTAAAGCAGAATTGTTTTTTCAAAGCATGATGGTGCACTTACCACTTAAAAAGAGAATAGTTAGATTTGAATTTCTTTTGCAACCTTTAACTCTTTTTCTTCTTCAAACTCAAAATACGTACCACAGAAATGTGTGGAGGGAAAAGATAGAAAAAGAAGAAAACATCCTTAACTAGGATAAATTACTTTAGATATCAAATCCTACATGCAGTTGGTACTCCTCTAAAGCAAGAGAGGGATGCCCTCTCTACAGCCCATTTCTCCTGTACTGCAAGGCTAACAAATATTTAGTGAATCCTGCCAACATATCCAGAAAGACTGGTCTTGGACTTCGAAGGATTTAATAATAATACATGTATCTTGTACAATTACTGTGCATGTAATATGTGAAAAGACAACATAATTTTTAAAAAGTGGATTATTCACTTTTAAGAGACATCCTTAAATTACCGTTTCAATCCTGTTATTCTTATAATTGGAAAACACGGGCCATCGGTTTAGATTACTCTTGTAGTACTTCTACGTATTAACATTCTTTATCACAGACTAGCATTTGTCATTTAGGCAGAGAAAAAGTCACTATTTAATTAGACAAGTGATATCAAAGAAAAGTAAACATTATAACATTATAATGAGCTTTAAAGGTCACTTTGGAAGATATCTAGTTGATCTGTATCAATATATGTTGACTTCTACTTTAGCAATATAATGATGATTTTAACTAAAAAATTGTTTCTCATGTGTTATAAAAATCTTAGTAAATACCCTATGTTGGGGCTCTAGTGTGGCACTATGGGATAAGCACTGGATATCCAAATGAAGGGTTGTTGGTTCAAAACCACCAGTTTCTTTGGAAACCCTATATAGGTTTGCTATGAATCAGAATTGACTTAACAACCATCACCACCCTATACTGGTGTCCTGTCGTGGCACTGTAGTATAAATACTATACTTCTAACCATACAGTTCAGCAGTTGAAATCCATAAGCTACTCCTTGGAAATCCTATACAGATCTCTATGAGTGGGAACTGACTCCACAGCACTTGACAATAACAACAACAGCAAACTTATATTGGAGCATTATTTTAAGGCACTGTTAAATCATCATTATTCTTATGAAAAGTAGAAAACAAAGAGTTCTTACCAAATTTGCAATGATATAATGGTAGCCTTTAACATGCTTCCCAACACTTACAATCTGTAAAGACATAGAAAATGAAAAAAAAAAAACAAATTGAATTTTTCTGAATGATTATTTTGTTAAATAAAATATTATGAATTCTAGCATAATGCAAAGTGGGAAACTAATGATAGGAAAATGGTGCAGTTTTCATTAGAAAAAATGATTTATTCTAATTAGGATAATTATATGAGCCACATTAAAAAACAAATGGTTAAAATAAAAAATGACTTTTTTTTGTCTCACATTGATCTATATTTGTAGCACAGTTTTTTTTGAAAACTCACATCTTATCCTCTCAAGTAGAATGACAATGCTATGAAACGAGACAAGAATGTCCATACATTTTCAAAAAGAATAAATTAAAAGAAGCAAAAATTATTTTTACCAAAAGCATTTAGATGTATTCAGTATAATACATCTGATAATCTATAGAAATGCAATGTAGGCTATTAAATATTTTCAGCTGATAAAAATGATTGTCTATGAATACTCAGTTATTTCTCATTATTATAGCAATATTTATTATACTAACAAGAATAAGAAAAAAAAAATCAAATGTCATCAAGGGGGAATTTGCTTTGCTAAATATATAGGAAATCAGAAATTCAGAACCCTTTTAAAAGGAAATAACAGAAGTTCTCAAACATTTCAACTTTATTTTGGATTATAGCTGAAACTCACATCATGTGTAAAGTTAACATGGTAATCTCAATGGTCTCCTCAAAAGCAATAAAGCAACACATCTCAGTTTTCCTTTATGATTACTTCTAAGACCTCATTTTTACATTTTGAAATGTTCTTTTTGACAATGAACATGATGTAATTTCTCTTCAATTTAACATTACCAGTATAACAAATCATTTGATTATTGTATTCAAAATGGCCAATACCAGTCCAGTTCAGGTCACAAATGCCTAGGATATCTATCTTTATGCATTCTATTTTAATTTTTTCATATTCCAAGTTTCTTAGATTCATACTTCTTACATTCCATGTTCTGATTATTAATGGATGTTTGCAGCTGTTTCTTCTCATTTTCAGTGTGCTCCATCAGCAAATGAAGGTCCCAAACATTTTGCACTATTCATGTCCTTATGGCCAATTCTATTTTGAAGATGTGCCCCAGTTTTATTTTGAGTGCTCTGAACCTGAGAGTCTCCTTTTCTGGCACTATATTTAACAATGTTCCATTGTTATTCATAATGTTTAATCATCCTGTACTATACCTGATAATGTTCTACTATGTTTCATAAGGTTTTCAGTGGCTAACCTTTTTTTGTCATTTAGACAGAAAAAAAGTAACTATTTAATTAGACAAGACAATTCTGCCTAGTCTGTCTTAGTCTGGAAGCTCTGCTGAATCTTGTTCACCATGGGTGACCCTACTAGCATTTTAAATAACAGTGGCAACACCCAAACCACCACAGTATGACAAACTGACTGCCTACAAGTAAGTCCAGTTAATACCACTTGATGATTCACATGTATGCACCAATCACTAAAGCCAGTAATGATAAAACTGAAGAATTCAGCCAATTTCTTCAGCCTGAAATTGAACAAACATGCAATCAAGATGCACTGATAATTACAAGCGATTGGGATGAGCAACTGATGGTCTGTTCCACAGTCTGTCCCTGGCCTTATTTTGGCTGAAGATATGGAGCTTTTCCACAGATGTAGTCAACTTGATTGCTATGTATGCCACCTGGTAAGGTCCAGGTGTATAATCATATCTAATAATGTTTAAAAAAGGTATTTGCAATAAAGAAGTCATTGGTCTTGCAAAATTCTATCATGTGATCTCCAGCATTGTTTCATCACCAAGGCCACGTTTTCCAAATACTGATCCTTCCTCTTTGCTTCCAATCTTTGCATTCCAATCGTCAGTAATTATCAATACATCTTGATTGAATGTTTGATCAATTTCAGACTGAAGCGATTGGTAGAATTCTTCAATATCATCCTCACTGGCTTTAGTGGTTGGTGCATAAATTTGAATAATAATGGTTTTGACTGGTAGGCATATGGATATTATCCTATCACAGACGGCATTGTACTTCAAGACAGATTTTTATATATTCTTTTTTTCATGAGTGCAATGCCATTCCTTCTCAATTTGTCATTCCTAGTATAGAAAACCAGGTGATTATCAGGTTCAAAATGGCCATTGACAGTCCACTTCAGCTCACTAATGTATTGATGTTTATGAGTTCCATTTCATTTTTGGCAATTTCTAATTTTCCAAGATTCATAATTCCTACATTGTAACATCCATGTTACAATTAATAGTGGAAGTTTACAGCTGCTTCTCTTCAGTTTGAATTGTGTCCCATCAGCAAATGGAAGTCCCGAAGGTTTAACTCCATTCGCGTCATCACAGTCAAGTGTACTTTGAAGGGGCAGCTCTTCTCCAGTCATATTTTAAGTGCCTTTCAACCTGAGCTATTCATCTTCTCACATTAAATCTGAAAATATTCTGGTGCTCTTCATCATGTTTCAATATTCAGTATGCTGGTACTGACAGTGTTCCACTGCTATTCATAAGGTGTTCAGTGACTAAATTTGGGCAACAGTCCATCTCTCCTTCCTAATCTCTTTTCTCTGGAAGCTTAGCTGAAACATGTCCACTGGGGGTTACCCTGCTGGTATTTCAAAGTATCATGGCATAGCTTCCAGAATCATAGTAACACACAAGCCATCACAAACTGTCAGACGAGTTGTGGGATATTCCTTATAAGTGTATAGATATTATCCTATTACTAACAGTATTATATTTCAAGATAGATCTTGAAATGCTCTTTTTGACATGAATGCAATGCCTTTCTTCTTTCCTGTATAATAAATCAAATGATTGTCTTAGTCAAACAGCAATACCTGTCTACTTTAGCTCCTAGTCATAATGCCTAGGATATCAATTGTTATGTATTCCATTTCATTTTTATGACTTTCAATTTTTCTAGATTCTCTGTTCTGACTATTAATGAACATTTGCAGTCCTACTTTTTTTTTTAAATTTTTTTTTATGATTTTGAGTTGTTCCTCTTCAGCAAATAAATGTCCCCAAAGCTCTGTTTCATCAGCATTAGTAAGGTCAACTCCACCTTGAGGATGCTGCTCTTCCTCAGTTATTTCAGACAATGCTCATCTGCTATTCATAACGTTTTCAGTAGCTAACCAATCAGAAGTGATCTGCCTCCCTTTCTTCCCAGTCTGTCTTAGTCTGAAAGCTCTGCTGAAAACTGTCCTTCTTGGGTGACTTTGCTGATATTTCAAATACTGGTGACATAGTTCCCAGCATCACAACAACATGCAAACCACCACAGTATGTGTATGACAAACTGACTGACAATTTGTGGAAGTTAAGAGTAACTTGTGTCAAAAACAAACAAATATACTACAACAAAACCTGAGTGACTTTACTTTGAATGTAGACCAAACTTTTTTTCTGTGTATTTGATGTTCGTCTTTTATAAATATTGAAAAGAAGCAGCTTGCAGATAATAGACATTAATACAAAATACCTATGCCTTCCTATAAGAGTAATTGGTCCAATTGTCAAGAGAAAATAATGTCTAAAGTGAGGACTTGGTTACAAAAATTATGAAATTATGACCTTTCATACAGAAGAGAAAAAAATGTATGAGCAGAGACTTTGCAACTCCTTTGTTTTAAATAGTTACATGAAACAGAGGCTATAACTAGATTAAAATAATGAATAAGTGTCTGCTTATTAGAGTTCTGTAGAGTAGGTTACGAAGGATACATACATTTCTTGGAGCACATATTTTTTTGTTGTTAATTGAGTGAAGGTTTACTGAGCAGGTCACCAGATTTACATGAAAGAAATCAGCTACTTCGTTTCATCTCTATTGCAACCCCCTCATTGTAACATGATTTATCTACTTCCTCCCTGTGGTTCTTGTTTCCATTCCTCCTTCTTCCCCAACCCTTCTGAATTTTGTCCTTAGGTAAATACTGCCCTTTTGATTAGGAATGGTTGGTCATTCTATGGTGTGCAGACCTTCACTGGTGTTGTTGTTGTCCTTATATTCCCATCTATTGCTTGACTGAAAATTGAGGCATGAGAATGAGTTCAGGTTCAGATCTGAAGGATGACCACGAGCCATAGGCTCAGTGTTCCACCGGAATCTGTCTGACCAGTATGTCAGCTCTTTTTTATGATTTTGAGTTTTGTTCCATATTTTCTCCCACTCTATCCAGTACCATCTAATGTGGTCACATACTTTCAAAGAGCTAGTCTTTACAAGAATAAAATGCTTGGGACGAATTGATCCTTTAATTACTATTTTTGATATGGTTTTAGGAAACAAAGATTGTTTCCTTGTGCTGGTCAAATAATTCAGTTCTAAAATCAGGTCTATGTGTATTATTAAGCTACACACTAGGTAGAGACACTGTAATTATTTTATTATTAAATTATGACAAGGTTAATCTTCATAAATATGGCTTTAAAATATTTATTTATTAAAGAGTTAAGGGAAAAACTGAATCTAGAAGGACAATTTTCCATTTTGTCTCACTCTACAATAAAATTTAGTTCAACAAATTGTAATGGAGTGTAAAGGAGTCCTGGTGTGGCACTGTGGATTAATGCGCTGGACTCCAAAGTCGGTTTGAACTGTAAGGTTGGCGGTTCCAGCTCACCAGTCGCTACTCGGAAACCCTATACAGGGTGGCTATGGGTTGGAACTGATTTGACGGCACTTAACAGTAACAACCCATGTAAAAGTTAAGGGCTAGGATACCCAGGGATTACAAAGATAAATAAATCTGTGCTGCTGCTTCAAGTGCATTTATTATCTCATAAGGAGATAAAGATCAACCAGAAATGATTCACATACTGAACAGAATAAGTGGAGTGCTATTGGTTTCAAGGAAAAGTGATACCATTTGGTTGGGAGTACAAGGAAGATTTTAAGAGTAAATAGATACTAAATAAATATTGATCGGATGAATGAATAAAGAAGTTAATGATATAAATGTCACAAACACAG